TCGGCGAGATATGTTTTCTTCTGAAAAAGAGGATTAATGCCGATATCTGTTATTAAAGATCTTTTGTAGTAGTAGGAGGATGTCAAAATAACGATCATAGAATGGCATCCAAACCAGGTTGAGGCTTGGGGATTTCTACAATTGCAATGCTATTAATAACTACTTACGAAAAATCCTGAAGAGAGAAAAGCAATCAACATTAGACAGATTATTTAACCCTTTCAAATGGAAAAAACATGACTAATAAAAATGCAAGACTGTGTATGTATGTATTTTTATTATTACATATAAATAAATGTAGTAAGAAAGTATATATTTTTTATTTTTGGGGGTCTCCGGAACGAATTAATTAAATTCCCATTAAAACCTATGGTAAATTGATAATCGGTTAACGAACAATTCGGATAGCGAACAAAGTCTTGGAACGGATTATGTTCGTTAACCGATCACCCACTGTATTAGTATATCCTGTGTAATTAGTATATCGCTATTAACCAACTTTGCGTTGAATTTTCATTGATGTTAAGCCTAACAAATTTTTTTTAAAAATAATAATCGTTGCTATTGTATCGTTAAAAATTATTTCATTGCTCACAAAACAAACAACCACTCATAAAAGTCTCATTTAAATACTGGCCTCCCTTTAATGGTCAAGCCAATGTTGCCAGCTAAAACATGCAAAAATTTAACAAAAATAATATTAAAGTAGCCAAGACATAGCCAAATATTGTAGTGCCACATCACTAGCGGACATTTGAAATTTGCCGACTAGAACAGTCGGTTAACCGATGTGACGGTTAATCGGGGGTCGGATAATAAATGCTCTACTGTAATTATTTATCACGGAAACTCTATCCTGTTTATTAATTTTATAATAATTATGGAACTTTAGTTGTTAAGAGAACGATCATCTTATTAAAAAGATGATATTGTTATCACATAATTAAAAATGATACTGAATAGGTCTGTGTGACATAAACATACTCATCTATTAATTGCCAGTATTGAATGGCTGTAAACAGTTTAACTTGCAGTAACAGAAATAGAGGAAAAAATAACAGACATAACAAGAAAAATTCTATCTTCTGGTTATTTTTAATTAAGGTCAACTATCCATTTGTATTGCTAATGTGATATTTTTAAGATTTTGCTACATTTTTTTTTGTTTCAGAATTTTATTATTATTTTTTAATCTTCACAAATCTGGTTATAGACTATTAAATAACATCACAAAAACTTTCGAAAAGCACCAGTTTTGATCCGATTAGGATCTGCATCAGGTCAAAAGTGTTTGATATAATTAGAATGCAGGACGTTCAAATTTAAATATTTTAAAATTGTTAGAACTGTAAATCAGTATAAACCTTAAATGTGATTTTTGTTGTATACTGGTTATAAGGTTTACAGTTCTGACGATTTTAAAATATTTAAATTCAAACATCCTGCATACTAATTATATCAAACATTTTTGACCTGATGCAGATCCTAATTGGATCAAAAACGTTTGTCACAATGTATTTATATTAAATATATTTTTGTGCTGGTATTTTTTGAAGGTTTTGTGGTGGTATTTAATACTTTTTATTTTGAATACAGTAATATAATACCTCGACTTACGCTACCCTGACTTATGCGAACTCGGAGTTACGCGATTTTCAAATCTCATCGATTTGTCTTTTGTTTGAGCGCCATGCAACTGTTGATTACTCACTCCCCCCACACTATTGTTCAGCTTACATGTTCGAACGTGTCGCGCAGAATCGACACATAGCTACAATTTATTTTGTGTTATTTATTTCTGTGTTTGCTATATCTACAGAGACTTGACAGACTCTATGTGATGATTTCTTGTAACCATGAACGAATCAAAAGACGAGATAAGATTAACGAGAACATTTATTAGCTTACATACACCCAACTTGGATTTTACACAAATTGCGAAATTATATTCTGACTTACACGGTTATCGCTTGGTCCACCTATCGTGTAAGTTCGGGGTATTACTGTACATAGTGGGTAGTGACTTATGATAATCACCCCTGTGAAAAACAATACAAAAATGACCCAATTAAGGCTAATTACACAGTGATATGACCAAAACGTCTTTGTACAAAATGTTTTTTAAAGGTAAAACAGTATAGCACACATTGATTAGTCAAACCATTGTTAAGCAAAACATTTTAACTTAAAGCAAATTCATTTTGTTCTGAGGTGTATACTCACTGATGAAGTGACATGTCTTTGTATAAAAATGTCTTGCTATGCTATTTATATAATATAATATAGTAGTTTATTTGACATCTATTTCAATACATTATCAAAGGGGGGAAAAAACAAATCAATAAATTCGCTTAACTCGAACCATCTAATTTCTTTAACATCTTGTTAAATTTAAACAAATCATCAAATCTAAAATCTAAACCACCACGTAACATTCTTACGTATTCCCAATACATAGCATTTCCGCAATTACTAAACATATGAAAGCACCAATCATTATAACTACAGTTCTGATTGCAAATCATACACTCCAAAGAAGCACTTCTTGACATATAGCAATTTAACCGCAATTTCGCAATCTGTTTTTTCATCCCAATTGGGATTCTAACATCCCTTAAATATTCTGCCTCACCAAAATCCGGTTTAACCGGACAATAATATCGTAGCAACCCAGAAGTATTCAGCATATTCTTCATTTTCTGTAATTCTAATTCTATGCATCTTATAACTATAGACGGAATTCGTTCTTTCCATACATCAGTTTGCTTCTCGTTAACCATCTCACCAAACCCCAACCGTTCCAGCCAATTTTTAAAATCCACCCACCATGAATTGCTCGCCGCTTTCGCCCACATTCTTTCGATACTGATTCTAGGTAGCCTTTTCCTGGGCAATTCTAATAATCTTACATAATATTTCAGGACTGCTTTTATAAAAAAGATTTTCAGTGGTACCC